AAAAGTTGGTTAAATGACCATTGTCTAAATTGGTTAGATGCTCATTGAACATGAGGTAGTAACTTGGCTAAATGGTTGGGCAGTTGTTTTATATTTATATAAGTGTGGTGATGAGTTCAACATGACGTCATGTGATAGATCCATTGCTCCTTTCACATAAATTAAAATCAGTAAATGTCGAATTTGATTTCTAAATCACTACTCTTATATCTTAATTCTTTAGAAAAAATGCAAGTTGATTCTCTAGAGACTAGCAGAGATCATGAGTTATGTTTCTAAATATAAAAGTTTGCAAAAGTTGGTTAAATGACCATTCTCTAGATTGGTTAGATGCTCATTGAACATGAGCTAGTAACTTGGCTACATGGTTGGGCTTAAAGTATACCCTAAGTATATTTGTAAAGTTTTTCTCTCCATTGAGAGATTAACAAATTCGATATAGCTGGTAGCTTCTTATAATATTTTTTATAATAATTTTTTTCATTGATAATTATAGTGTTCATTAATTTGTTTTGAGAATTCTTTGGTTGCATTAGCTTAATTGAATTTGTTAATATAAAGAATATTAGCATATGCAAAGAGAATAGACAATTTAATGCGTTCCAAATGGGAAATATAGCTTAATGGGAATTAACTAAATGTATCAAAAAAGTGTGATGGGTTAGGGGTTAAGTCCCAGGTTCGAATTCCCTTCTTTGCAAATGAATACGGGGTTTAGAATAAACTAAAATATAATCTTGCTTTGAGACATGAGTAATATATATATATATATAATATCACGTGACATGCTTTTTATTATATATTTCCATTCAAATTTTAAACAGAATATAAAATTAAAAAAATAAAAATGATGTGGAATGAGAAGACAAAATGAAGATCGAGAATCCAAAATAGATTTAGTAGATAATGAGAGTATCAATGATCATGTAGCACAAGTCAAAATTCTCATGCTTCTTTGTCTCATGGTGGCTTATCTTTACCCTACGCCTACCTTTTCATGACTCGGAGTCATTATCATGCCATCCTCATAAATGGATATGATTGTGGTAGGGCATGAATAGATTAACCACCAGCCCATCCGGATTGAGCCTAGTGTCACCGACCTTATGTGGCACCAATTAACTTCACATTCGGATCCCATGCCAGACCAAAATTTATGGCCTGCCTTGTCCGTCGGTCCATCCTGACAATAAGGGACCTAATATTCGACCCGAAGACATTTGTGTGGACAGTTGATGTAATATCGGATTAAGAATTGAGCCTATTTTGACTCGGTCTACCCATCCATCCTAACAACCGGGGACCGATACCTAACCCGAACACTTCCGAAGGGACGCTTAATGTGACATCGGATCAAGAATTGAACATGTTCTAATATCATTTGTAATGGACCAAGTGTTTCATAGTCTGATCCAAAAATTTAAGTTATTAGATGGTGCTAGCACAATAGCACTTGATCTTAATATATCCAAGACCCTCTCACTCTGATTCCTCCACTAGCAGGTTTTTTCGGAAAACTCTATTTATTCTGGTGTGGATATATATATATATATATATATATATATGTTTTTAGCTCTTAGAGAGTGAAACATAATAGGTCGGAATTTCTGGTTACCTCAACGGTTCCTTAAATGAATTCCAACTCTCTAGAGACATGCATACAGTGCATTACTCTTTTTTTTTTTTTTTTAAGAATTTAGAAGTTATTGTTTGAAGTTAAATGTTTATATTGTCAAATTAGAATTCAAAACTTGAAGATTATTTTTTTCTGGAAAAATACAATAATTGTACTTTAATTTTTCAAATGTACCATAAATTTTGGAACAAAAAAAAATAATAATAATAATTTGAGACATATAGTAGATTATGAAAAAGATAAAAAAAAAAAAAAAAAAAGGAATAATAGAACAAATTTTTTTTTTTTGACATACAATATACAAAAGTCTAGAAGAAAAGAGGTTATATTATTATTTTTGAAAGATCAAATAAATACATAATTATAATTATTTTTAAAAATATTAAAATTTTAAATATATAATTACAAAATCCGGATGAATCACAACACTAATAAAGTTTTAAAGCACATGCGTCTAAAACTTTTGCATTTGGAACTCTTTTCTCATCAACTCCTTTTTCTTCCTCGTACAATTATATTTCATTTGAAAAAAACAAGAGAAACATTAAAAAATGTCTCAACAAACCTGCGAAAAGAAGCCCCACAAACATTAAAGCTGTGAGACTGCAACCTCCGTAATTAAACGCAAAAGCCAAATGGCCAACCATACTGATGTCATCATTACTGCAACTCCCACTATGTACAAAACTGAATTCTCCTTTATGCCCTCGGCAGTCCTTTGCATTTACAATGGAAAACACATGATATATTGTTTTTAGGGATGATAGGACAACAATTCCGTATTTCCACGAATCATATATAGTTTATTGAGTATGAGCTTGAATTTTATTCGCTGCGTAGGTCCATAGCATAAATTTTTTTTTTTTATGTATCATGGGATTAGTACGAGTGGGGATCCTTTAATTAAATTTTTTTTTTTTAAAAATCATAGATTATATACTTATGTAACACCTATGCAATAAATGAAAGAATAATTAGTTTAAACAATATAACAATAATGCAATAAATTATATTAAGATATGATAATATTTGAGAATGCAACAAATTTGGATCAATGTTGCATCTTTTGATGGATGTGTTTGGTAGTCATTAAAAGCGATTAAATGAAGTTGGAATTTGGAACTTTTAAAACTGTGTTGGGTTGAATGTTTTAAATAACTATTTTTTATTAGACAATTTTATTTATTTATATATATATATTTTTTATATATAAAAACAATTACACTCTTTCATAAATAAAGTTACTATTATCAAAAATGCTAATATCCTATTTAAGGATATTATTGTAAAATTAGCAATAAAAGTGTTTACACAAATATTGTTACCAAATAAATTTAAAAATAATTTAATTATAGAAAGTACTTATTATAATGGGTCACCAAACACCTAATATGCTTTTCAATGACTGCAGTTTTTTGACAACTTTATTGAAAAAAAAAAAAAAAAAATTTGAGATAAAATTTTTTAAATAAAATATTAAATATAAGAATTTAATTTTTTGTGACTTTTCTGACTCAGATTCTTTGATCTTTTAACTGTATATGTGATTTTCAAATTATCAAGGATGTGGGACGTGAAGAAATAATAAAACCGATTTACTTTATTTTCTTTTGGATCTAAAACGCAAGAATATATATAGTGGGCATTTTTTAAAATTAAGTGAAAACATCAAAGTGTATAAGAGAGAATCATGAATGTGGCAAACTGTAGAGAATGAAAAAGAGATGATTAACTTTTGTATCCAAAAAACATAAGTAGGAGCAAGAATGTGAAGTGTGGTATTTTTACAAATAGAGAGAGCATTTTAAAAAAAATTATAAATTGAGAGAGGGTATTTTTAAAATTTTAACAAAAAATATAAATAATAATGCAAATAAAAAAAATTCCCCCCACTGATCCTTAAGTCGGGGGATTGCACATTTTATATACGGATATAATATGTGTATACATAAAATAATTTCAATATTTGTACATTGGTTAAGAGTAATTACCTAGTTTAATAATATAAATTTAATCTCACAAGCCCAAGGAAATGTATTTGAATTATGAGTAGTGCATTTTTTATTTGGAAGGAGATACATAATATTTGTAATAATTTTAAATTCAAAAATTATACTATCATATTTTTTAAGACACACAAGTCCAGAAATCTATACATTTATTTTAAATTCTGTATAATATTGAAAAAAATATATATGGAATTCCAAAATATTAACTATCTTCAATAAATAAAGTAAAAGTAACGAGTGTTTATATAATTTATTTACAACTATATGTGATACATATACACACTTAATACTTTTAAAGTACTATATTATTTTAAAACCTTGTTTAAATATCTCTTGTACTAAGGGTATTTATAAAATAACTGGGAAAAAAATGTCAATATGAAGTGGCAAAAGGATTTATCATTTCTTAATATTCAGTATTAGTATTACGTACATTTTGATTCATTGTTGTCTCTAATAAATGTTACATGTGATCTATATTTGATGAATGGTATTTTTTTTTTAATTAATTAATTTATTTATTTTTCATAGATTTGAAGATTTGCAAATTAAATTGAATTCATTTATTAAAAAATAATTTACTTTTAGCACTTTAATTCAAACACAAAGAGTGGGAGAGAGAGAAACCCCGTTTATTTTTATTTTTATTTTTTTATTTAGAATGAAGAAGTTATACTATATATCTTTGGTCAAATTAATTACATTCTAACAAGACACATTTTTGTTTTAAATTATTGTTGATATTTTATTAAGTTTTTTTTTCCAAGTCCTTTACATAGAACATTTTAATAATTTTACATTATAAATTAATGGGGCTATGTTTGGTATAATGGAAAAGAAAAAAAAAAAATGACAACATTAGTTAGGAGAAAAAAGAAAGGAAAAAGAAGAAAATGATATTGTTAACGAATTTGGTTAATTAAGAAATAAAATGAAAGAAAATGATATCAATTATGTACAGGGAGAAAAAGAAAAAAAAAATTATTTAATAAATTTACTATTATACCTATTTTTATAGATTTTGGTTTTTATAAAAATAAAAATAAAATTAATATTAAAATTCTTTTATTAAAAATAAATGACTTTCCTTCTCTTTCATTTCCTTTTCTTTCATTTCATTCCGTTTTGAAACGATAACAAAACCTTCATAATACACCCGTATATATTCTAAATTTGCAAACAGTGAAGGTCCGAGTGTGACTACATTTATTTTTTAATAATAAAAAATAAAAAAACTCTAACCACTATAATCAGGGTAGCTTGTAATTTTCACAAAAACCATGTCTGTTTCTGGACCCCATTTGGCGCATTTTAGCACGCTCCGCATCCCAGGGAATCAAACAGAACCAGAATCAGTGAAGACGACCGCACCAACCAACCTCCTGAAACACATTAGACTCGTGTATATATAGAGAGACACACACAGTAAGAGAGAGAGAGAGTTTGATTCTTGATAGAGAGAGCACATTGAGAGTCACAGACTTGGCACTGATCAAACATTTTAACATGATCGTAGTCATAGAGCTATACATATACACTTTTATACATCTCTGTTTTTGTAATAATTGACTCCATTTTTGAGCTCAAATGGAGAAAATCTTCGCCAACTACGAGCTCAAAGCTTGTGGTATAGTTTAGGTCTCAAAGTGTGTCCCACTTTCTCTCTCTAGAGGACCTGTTTTTCTTCTCTCTCTATACTTCTTTCTCTCTAGAATGAGTTGCAGGAGGATGATTGCGGGGAACTTGGATCCGGAGAGGAAGAGGAGCAGGGGATTGAGGACGAAACAGGCGGGACGAGGATCGTGCCGTGGAAGTTAGGCCGGAAATCCGAGTTGCAGGGAAATTTGTGATCTCCGGCACTGAAATTTCTCTCTCTATATCTATATCTATATCTATCTGTTACCCTGCACGGTCATCTAATTTCAGTTTGTTGATTCACTGTTCCATCAAAGTTCAAAGTCTCGTCGCGATTCGGACCCATGGGGTATCGGTTGAAAGAAGCTTTGAAGACTCTCTGTGCCAATAACCAGTGGTCTTATGCTGTTTTCTGGAAGATCGCTTGCCAAAACCCTAAGTCAGTGTTCTCACATTTTTTTTTCTGATCATTGAAATATGGACTTATTTATTTATTTATATGTCAATCTCTGTTTGGTCGCTGAGAAAATGTAGGAAATTGCAATTTAATCTATTATAATCGAGATTAGAAACTTTAAATAAATCGCTAGTTAGTTGCTCGAAACATGAAGGAAAATAAAAGATAGCAGACAATCTGCTCTTCTTATTTTCAAAATTTGTGGGGTCTTTGTTTGGTTGCTGAGAAAATGGAGGGAGGGGGAGAAATTATAACATTTTCTGTGTCAATTATACTTGTCGTTTAGGTTTCTGAAAATGACATCTTCAACTAAGTCGAGCTTTTTATTTCCTAGGTCCGGACTCCTAAAAAAAGGGAGAAATCAGAGCCAAATTTTAATTTCATTTCTTTCCCTGTATTTTCTCTTAAACCAAACAGGCTTTCTTATTGAACTTTTTGATTCTCTGATTTTTCTTAGCTATGAGTAGGAATTTATGTGGTTGATTTGTTTCTAACATACAATTTGACTTGCTCTAGCTTTTATTGGGTATTGTTTTCTCCTTTTTGCGTTGTAATCTGATTTCTTGTTGTTTCCTGTTTTTGGAGTGTTATGTTTGGTTTGTTCTGCTTTGTCTTATAGAATCCTAGTGAAAAAAGCGAATTTGTTTTAGTTTGACTAAACCTTTCTGATATACTAGTATTGCTTTACAGTACATAAATCAATTGCCTCTGATATACTGTTTTTGGAGTGTATGTTTGGTTCGTTCTTACTTCTAGTTTAAAGGGCAGCCCGGTTTATGAGGCTCCGCCGCTGCTGGGTCTAGGGAAGGGAGGGTCAGATGCATGTTGCCTTACCTCCATATGCAGAGAGGCTGTTTCTGTTTCAGACCGCTTTCCATATATTGTAAAATTGTAGTAATAGATGATCCCTTGATTAAATTTTCTAAAAGATTGAACTTAAAAAAAAAAAAAACAAATAAATAAAATTGTGACTTACTGTGCGAGTGGTGTTATTCTTATTAAGGAGTGGGGTTTTGGTTTGGCAGGCTTCTAATTTGGGAAGAATGCTATTATGAACCCTCACCAAGTTCTGCTCTTCCACATATTTCTGGAATTCACAACCCAGAAATTGGTTTTGAAGATTGGGAAGCATGCTGGATTTCTGCCGAAGCTCGAACTTCTAAGCCTGGGGTTCAAGCAGAGGACAAAGTTAATTTACTCATAAACAAGATGATGATGGACAACCTGATTAACGTAGTCGGAGAAGGGTATGATTATTGTTCATTTTTGTGACACTCATATATGTTTTAACATTGTACTCTCACTCATATATGTTTTAACATTGTACTTTCTTTTGATGCATTTCTTGTCTTGAATATATAGTTATTAATTGTATATAATTTTTTCTCAGACTAGCAGGGCGGGCTGCATTTACAGGAAATCATCAGTGGATTCATTCAGAGAACTACTTTACGGAAGTCCATCCACCAGAGGTACATCATTATAATAGGCATTCCTGCTAGTGTAAAATTGTAGTACAAAGGTATTACTAAATGAAAATGGCATACACACTGTTGATGCCACTGGCTTTGTATAAATTTTGCATTCATGTTTTACCTTCTAAAAAACACGCAAAGTACAAAATGGACGTCTGGGAGAAAGATCCGAGTGAATTATAGGTCAGCTGCTTCAACCTCTCTTTGTTGTTGCTAGTGAGTTAGCTGGTTTATAAACTTGGGAAAGTACAGATGATAATTTCTCTAGGAATTTTTTACCTGTGGTGGACATTCTTTTGTAACTATTAGAGTTGTATAAAGAGATTGGCATTTAGTATCTGAACTTAAAATGACTTCCATTTTCGTGGTTGTTTTTAGGTTCTAAAAGAGTTGGGCCAACAATTCTCAGCTGGCATGCAGGTAAGATATTTCTGTTGAGTTGTCTGCAGGCCTCTTTATTTGCTGGTCCATCACAGAATTTATGTTTGTTTGCAGACAGTTGCAATTATTCCTGTTCTTAAACATGGTATTGTCCAACTTGGTTCATCCTTTGCTGTAAGTCTCTAATTTCCCTTTTTCTTCTTAGTAACTAATTTTGTTCAAACTTCCAGATATGTCAAAACAATTTTGAGAATATATTTTTTTTATTATTATTTTTTTATTTTTTATATTTTGTTAAGATTACTAATAATTGTTGTTTAGTGGCAATAAGTTGTTTAACTACAATATAGGTTTGACCAGGACATCAGGTGTTTGTTTTATTTTACCTTCCTTGCATATGAAATATTTATACTCCCCTCCCATCATCAGCGATCACTGGTCCATCAATGGTTTCTAAACGATGGACAAATTCTTCTGTTGGCTGGGTCCTATTATGTTTCATAATACCAAATTTATGGAGATTCAATGAAAGTAGTGTGGGAGCTGAACATTTTTTTCCCATCCAAAATATTTATTTAATCACTGTAAGCTTTTGTGGAGTCAATGTAGTTGGAGAGTTGTGGCCAAATATAGTTGTTCCTTTGATTTCTTCTTTTCTGAGTCAATTATATTAAACTCCAATTAAGCAAGGGAAGGATGGACTTTCCATGTTAAGAAGAACTGTCGATACAATCTGTCAATCTGAAAGCAACATTTGCAGTATTTTTAGTTGTAAAGTCCCCTGTTTTCGAGTTATTTTCTATATGTTTTGTATGTTGATTTCACCTTTCTGCTTATTGTGTCAATACCTTGCAACATCCACATTCCAATGATAATCATTCTAATGCAGCTTTATTTGTTCATGATAGTAAAGAAGTATATAATTTTATGTTGGTTGCTTCAATATCTTTTTCTGAATTTCACCATCCTTGCTGCCTCAGATTATGGAGAATATGGGATTTGTGCATGGTGTAAAAACTTTGATTCTTCAACTAGGATGTGTTCCTGGTGCTTTATCATCTGACAATTATACAGCAAAAGAACCTTCTCCAAATATTGGGTTCCCCTTCCATCCTGGAAAATCTGTTTCTACTGATTTATCTGGGAATTATAAGATGACAAACCGTATTCCTTTTGTTGCTGACAGCTTCAACCAACAAAGCATCTCATCTCAGGCTTTAGAGCTTGTTGGTCATCCTTCTCAGTCTCTAACTGGACGGATGCAGGATAACTGGCAGACTGCTGCTTCCACATTTCAAATGTCTGACCTGGCTCAAAAATTGGTTAAATCCCATGGTGACCTCTGCCAATCAAAAATTATTCCAGTGATGAAACCCGGTCTACCTTTTAGAAACCAACTAGAAAACAGAGTGACAGGAGCTGAAGTCATACCCTCAAATCCAGCAGTATTGCTGAACCAGCGGGCTTCTTTGTGCATTCAAGAGCCTGGATTTGATCAACAACCTTGTGAACTTGGCCCATCATCTGCAAATTATAGCAGCTTAAGGTTAAAGGAAGAACATATCTTGTCAAGTGGTGGTGCACAAGAGCATGCTAACGACAGTTTCAGTGCATTCAGTGGCTTTATGACGCCTTGTCTGGGCACTAATGGAGGTTTAATTTCTAGTTCCCAGAATGATTCTGTTACTAACACATCGCCTGAAAAAAGTCGGTTACAGATTGGAGTGACTAGTCACCCGAGATCAATTTTAAATCCATGTTCTCTTCCAAATGCAGACACAGCAGCTAATACTAATATCTCTTGCACACATCTTGCTGGAAGTGGGCTTCAAAATGCTTGTTCATCTGAAACAATGGTGCCAACTGATCAGATGGACAGTTCGACTACCAATCACTTACTCTCAGGTAGCTCTGATGGTAGACAGAATGCTACAGATGACATGTGTACTCAAATTGAATTGGCTCAGAGGAAAGGAAAAATTGACAGTGATTTGTTTCAAGCCCCTAGCATCCCGTTGGCCCATCTGGTTGAGCATAGGGAATCGAGTGAGCATATTCCTGGTTTTCTTCATGATATCCAAAAGCATGACTATGACACTTGGAGTCCAAGACATAAAAATGCTAACTATGATGATGCATCTGTCAAATCTCCATCAGGGAATGACTTGTTTGATGTCTTGGGTGTGGATTTTAGGAACAAACTATTTAATGACGGTCAGAAAAAACTTCTAAATATTGGGCAAGAGTCGGACAAATTGTTTTTGGGAAAGAACAATTTTACATCTACGGAACTTCAGGATGCAGGTTCTGATTTATATTCGGTTAAGGGAGGAAACTCAGTGAATGGTATTTCCTCACTGATTGGCTCAGACCATCTATTAGATGCTATTGTCTCTAGAATTCACTCTGCTGCCAATAAAAACCCAGCTCACAATAGGTCTTGCAGAACAACATTGACAAAGACTAATAGCTCTTCTATTCCTAATGCAGCTCCCTCCTATGGTCAGGTTACTGTATCTGTCCAGATGCAAGGAGAGTTGTTTGGCCATCCCAAGTCTCTGGCAAAAGCAGAGACAGTAGGACCTTGTTCATTTAGGTCTGAGTGTGCAAAGGAAGATGTAGGAAAGCACTCCCAGATGAGCTCCAATTATGGATCTCAAATCAGTTCGTGGGTTGATCAGGGTGATAATATGGGGCTCAATAGTAGTGTTTCAACTGGATATTCTAAGAGGTCTGACGAAGTTGGCAAATCAAATCGTAAAAGGCTTAAACCTGGAGAGAACCCTAGACCCAGGCCAAAAGATCGACAAATGATCCAAGATCGCGTGAAAGAATTAAGGGAAATTGTGCCAAATGGAGCAAAAGTGATGACTCTTCTATATGTGTTTTTTTTTTTTCTGCATTTTCACATCATAGATAAATACTCCATTTTGATGTTCAGGTGCTGATGCTATCCTTTCATCCCTTGTGGTTTAACAGTGTAGTATTGATGCACTGCTGGAACGTACCATAAAGCATATGCTCTTCTTGCAAAGTGTCACAAAACATGCAGACAAGCTAAAACACGTGGGGGAATCCAAGGTGCAGACCACTTCTTTTTACTGAACTATTTCAATTACTATCCTTCATTGAAATTAGTTTGGAGAAGACTTTGTCCCTATTATCATGGTAAACTCATTCGTGTATTCAGTTGTTGGATAGTTGGAAGTTAGAGCATGAAATGTATTAAGGAAGGAGAAAATGTGCGGAGTAAAGTTTCTAAAACTTGAAGATAGATTTTTTATTTTTTTTCCCTGATGAATAAACTTGGAAATGGTTTATTTTTATTTATATATTTATATTGGAACTTGGTGTTCGTCAACTTTTGTAATAAAATCCTGGGTCTATAAAGTCTGTTATATTTTCAGAAGTTGGTTTAATTAGTTAGAGTTAGAATTTACGGCTCAAATCCATAAAGCAATTAAAGATCAAAGGGTAAAAAGTTAAATTCACCTCCTGCATTAGTAACTTACCAAATGAGGGCTGATAATCATGCATTCTTATCACGGTTCATATTAGGAAACAATGCATATGCGTTTTGGTCTGTATAGAGTAGTGGGTTGACCACAGGAGCTGGGATCAAACTCTTTGTGAAATATAATTCAAAGTCAAGAGCTCATCGTCATATTATGGCTTGCTAGACGCAAAGCAGTGTAATAGAGTCCGGGGCGCATCAATTATTTTTCATTAAAATGATGTTTTGAATGCATGAAATTGTTTTTAGCTAATCTATATTTTGATAGTTTGGTATTTCTCTGATACTAAATGAAGTTTTATTAATTAAGTTGGCAGCGACATTAATTGAAGAGGCCTTGATTGAGACAGTAACAATCAAGTACTAAGTGCTACAGGATTGTTCTGATCACAATTACCCTAAACAGACCTAGAAGGGAGGGGGTTGAATAGGTCTACAATGGAAACTTACCCAATTTTAAAATCCACACAATAATTAATTCAATTACACGCTTCGATTCACTTGTTAAGGCGATCTACACTCTAATATTATTGATGGATTTTATTTGGATTTATTACCAATTTCAAGTTGATATAATTCCTATATCAATTTGTAAATAAATAAACAAACAAATAAACTTACTTAAGTTTGTTAATCTGGTAAATTGCTTAAACAAATAAACAAACACCTATGCCATTGAGATCAATTTAGAATCACGTGTGTAGCATCAGATTGACCAAGCATGTTTGTAAAAATAAATATAAAGCAATTTAAAGTACAGAAAAAATAAATAAAGTTGATATTTGCTCACAAGATTTTACGTGGAAAAACTCACCCCAACCGTAAGTCAAAAAAACCAAGGGACTTGGTCCGACAAAATAATCCACTATGAAGAGTTTGGCAGTAATTCAGTACACTTGAATTGTTAGTTCATCTCTAGACACCAAATATTACAGTCCTTTGACCATCTTCCACGTCGTCTTTAGATCTGTCTACAACAGCTCAGTACACTCAAACTATGCTTCTTTCTCTTGAATCTACTTTCTGCAATTAAACTGTCCAGCTTCAGTTTTCTGGTTGAGTCTAGATTACTCAGAACAAAGTGTTGATCTCAATACTACAACCATTGTGTCAACATTACAATAACATCCTAATCACCATGTCTAATACTGATGATATGTATGACCAAAAACAATAGACATGACTATCTATATATATGTCCTCTAATCTCAGGAGATAATCTCTCACAAATATGTGTATATGAAGAACATAGAACTCTTGTGGATAAAGAAACAAATAAACATACTCTCACAAAAACTAATACGAATGAATATGCAAGACAGGATACAAGAATGCTTAATGCGGCTATTCTAGCATTCTAGAACAATTGACACTCTGGACACACCAGGGTTTGTTAGAACTCTAGTATTTACAGAGGATTGACTTGTTCCACATGTCTACAAGCTTCTAGGTTAAGAAAACTCATTTTAGGAAACAAATCATGTGCTGCTAAAAGAATCCACAATTACAACTGGCACAAGGAACCAACTATATCCTCAAAGAATCCACAAAAGACAAAAGAGCTTCAATCAATTTACAGCTCCAACCATGAATTCAAAAGAATAGAGAACTAAATACATAGAACTTAACCACCCCTATAGAAGACTCCTTTCCATTGAAGGATCTCCTATTCCCCTCCTTCCATAGACTCCACGACAAACAGAATGGGTGAACCCTCCAAGCATCTGTGACTCGGCTCCCTGCTACACAACCTCTCCAAGTCTCAAGAAACTTGCCTCAAATCAGAGTTCTAAAAGGTTTAGATTTACTTTTCTGATTATAATTAAGAAACTCTAATTTCTTTGGATTCAAAACACTACATAAACACCATAGGCTATCATAACTGATATAGAGATATTGATGCACATTATTGAGAGAACATATAGAGAGAGATTATATTCATGTTTTCAGAGAGCATATTTTTCTTTTCCTCAAGTAGCATTTTGAATTAGATGGTGAGCTATTATTCAAAGTGTTTATTATCATAATCCTTGTGTTACGAAAATTTGACACCAATGTGTTTCTATACAATGAACAAAAAGCTTAGATGGCTAGCCATGGAGACCAATGTGCTGAAGGAGAAGTAGTTCGCATGAAGCGCGGATCTGTCATGGAGCAGCTGCCTAGAGACTCAAGTGAATACTAGGGGATTTCAAGAGTTTGGGACTCTAGTTAACCTAGTGGTTAACTTTTTCCTAATAGTGAATTTGATCTACTTGGACTAGGTCCTGTGGTTTTTTCACTTGAGGTTATTCACGTAAATCGTGCGTTTGTGTGATTGTTTAATATTTTATTGTATATCTCAATACTTTAATTGATCATATTTCCTTGTTTTAAATGTAATTGTGAGATTTCAAAAATAAGTTATTGTTAGTTAAGATCAGACACAATCTATTCACCTCCCCTCTAGATCTATTAGGGTCTGGCATACGCTGACATATCAGTGCCTTTGGTCATGATCCTCAGATCCTATGTGTAGGTAAATGACACGTGCACTGATTGGTCCCGTGAGTGTTTGGTGCATGTACGATCATTTCGAATTCTTTTAATTTTCAAGGGAGAATACCGCTAGATATCTGATTTGTTTTTTTCGAGATACCCATCATACAAGTGTTGTGGGCTCATTTCAATTCAGCAACTATATAAATTTCATAAAGTGGGTTCTCTTCATTGACTTGAATTTCTAGCCATTCCATGTCAATATTTAAATTCAAGCGCATAGATGAAATAATCACACTAATTTTTGTGATGTGTATCGTGATTTTTTTTTTGGGACGAAAACCCTCAACCTTCCATTTTAAAGGAGGAGATACCACTTGAGCTAAGTCCTAGGTAGTTTGATAGTGGGAATGTTATTGAAAATAAAACGATACAAAGTTAGAGAAAATAAGCCTACTATTATAAGAGTATTGGTAAATTATTATAAAATTACTATGATGGAAAATTATTTAAATGAAGTTGGAAAATATTATTATAGGAACCCTTAAATTACTCCTTGATAGAATATTTGATATGAGAATATCATAGGAGAGATTTATGGTAGAATATTTGATTGGAGTGATTTATGGTATTGAATTTAGAAATCTTCCTTATGTATTGTCCATATTTTTCACTTGTATTCTTTCACCTATAAATAGAGGTGATCATTGTATGCAAAGATTGAGAGAGTATAATAAAGATATGTAGTCCTCTGGGTTTTGTGTGTCGTGGATGTAAGCCCTAGTGGCTGAACCACGTTATATTCTTGTGTTTTTCATATTTTAGTTTCTCTCTTCAACTTTTAGATCTTTCAACAGAAGTGAATTGTTGTGATGCCTTATTTTGTTCTTATGTGAAATTGCAGATTATTGATAGGGAAAACAGACTAGTATTAAAAGACAACTTTGAGGGAGGAGCAACGTGGGCATATGAAGTTAGCTCACAATCTATGGCCTGCCCTATTATAGTTGAGGATCTGAATCTGCCTCGTCAAATGCTTGTGGAGGTAGTGGTTGCCATATTTTTATTTTTTATTTTCTACATATAATATGTTGAAGCTTATCCCTGCCCCATTAATTGTTTGACTTTTAGAGCACAAGTTACCTTGGCTGTATTTAACATTCCTCTATGTCTTTGACAGTTGCTTTGTGAAGAACAAAGTCTGTTTCTGGAAATAGCTGATGTAGTTAGAGGATTGGGATTAACCATCTTGAAGGGAGTGATGCAAATCCAGAATGGCAAGATGTGGGCACACTTTGTAGTAGAGGTAATACTCATATGAGTACCAAGTCAATTGACTGATGTTTTTGAAACCCAGTTTGGTCTGGCTGGTTAAACCAAATTGGACCAGGTCTTAAACTTTTACCTGATTGGGTTGATTAATTCATCCAAAAGATTGGTTAATTGGGAAAGGGTTGATTAATTCATTCAAAAGATTGGTTACTCTAGAAAATCCAACAAGTCATTTGGTTCAATAGGTGAACTGGTGATCCTATTGAATCAATTGACCCAGTAAGTCTGAATTCTGAAATTGACAATATAAATAAAAAATTAATAGACAACTGAAATTAAGTAAATAGAAGTTTTGATTTGAACATAAAAATTTGAGATTTTATTTTTTGCTCAAAACGTGGAATAAAGCACCCGATATGTCAAAGCAGCTGGATTGAGTTCATACCACCGATAGAATTACATTTTAAATTGGTTCCTTAATACTGCTTACAAAAGTCTTTTATTTTTCTAAAAGCCGTAATAAGTAGTTCTATATAACATCATAGATTTTCAGATAGCCCACACAATCAACCTGACCTGTTGAACGTATGAACCAATATTCCAATTGGACCCGATCGATCAATAGACTGGTTTTCAAAACATTGTATTTAGCTGTTTTGCCCGTGTTAATATTACAGACCTAGCTTTTTTAGGTTAGTATATAAATTAGCTTTAGTTCACAAGTTCTGTAGCCCTCATTATGATGAAAACATGTTTTTTAGTATTTTCTAGTAGTTAATATTGTTTGTTAGTAACTATAATATTTGTTTTTCAAGAAGTATCGTTTTTTATTTTTATTTTTTTTGGTATAAGTTGTGAGCAGTCATGCATGGAAAACTAACATAATACAGTCTTTTTTTAATGAACAAGGAAAACTAATAAGGTTTGCATTTTTGTTAATATATTATAACTAATTATCATCTCTGTTCCTAAACCATCGAATATAAAAGAAACTTTGGATTTTGATGCATTTTATTGCTTTTTAAAAATATATATATATATATATATATATATATATATATATATATATATGTGTACATATATTATTTTTTATTTTATTTAATTTTGTTGTGTGCCGATGCAGTAATCATTTGTTGAATATCAATGTTGATTTATTAGCTTATGAAAAAAAAAATGTTGATTTATTATGCTTATCTGTGAGGTTTCAATTATTATGGAGCCATTTGTAGAAGAAATGGAAAATTTTCACTTTCCAAGGGGATGGAAATCTTGGAACTATTGTGTAGTCCATTTATCCTACTGGATGCACTCTCCAAGAAAAAGACAAAAAGAGGGAACAAGAATCTCCAATAAGAATAATTAAGCCATTCATAATATGCTGGAACAATCAGTTCCCCCCCCCCCCCCCCGACAAAATGGGTGATTAAGTTTCAGCAATAGCGTTGTCTAGTGTGCTAAGAGTCTAGGACACAGAAGTTATATCTAAACAGCTTAGACACTGACGTCCACTGAACAACTATCAAATGAATGGTTAATTGAAGAATATCAATTATCAAATGAATGGTTAATGGAAGAATATCAATTATCAAATGAAAATCAGTCAGTGCTAGGTTAATCAGGGTTGAATGAGTTTTCAGTAACCTGCAACTTATTCCCCATCAGGATCATTTTTTGTGTTCTTTCATCTATGATTGGTAAATTTGGTAGACACTGACATGAGTTCCGCATGTTGACATGGACACGAGGTGTTGGACCGGGCAGCATGAAAATTAAAACACATGACCATGCGCGCGCGCACACACACACACACATATGTATACGTACACAGATATATTTTTAATAATATATTTTTATATGGTTTTATGAATCTTGGAATATCAGAGGTCAAATAACAGTCAGTATTTGTCATCATATGCTCTTCTTTAGGGATAAGGGTAAACTTGCAAAAGATGCAATGTGGAAGTTGTATGAGAATATTGTAATCGAGACTCAGAATAGGGGTTTATACAATATAACGGAATTTTGTATAAAATTAGCAATAATCATGAATTCAGTTGAATTACAGTTGCCTTGTCTTTTGCAACAAGTTGTGGAGATTGAGGGGAGCCCTCTTAGGGATTTTGATTTATATAAATGGCACAATTGTCTAGGACTCATCTGGAGAAAGGGACCCCAAAAATCAAGACCCAAGGAATTGGCCATGAGTTTGTGTGTGTCTAGTTGCGTCTTTTTTCATTATTTATTTTTGTCTTCTATTTAAATGGGTAACTGCTACAGGAGCAAAAATTAGTATTTATAATGGGGAATATCAATTCCTTCCCTTAGAGATTATTGATCATTATCTACCCTCCATGCAAGAATAAATTCCTGATAGCTTGTAGCTCAGTCTCAAGTGGTGTGCCCCTGGTTTCTCTTAAACCAAGATAAAAACCCGATATGCTCTTCTGCTCGAGCACTTGAGTTGACTATGGAGCAAACAATGGTAAAGACCATGAGGAAGTAAATTGATGGATGCCAGTTAGTCAGAAAAGTAATCTTGAGCTTTTGTGTAGACGTTCACTATTTTATAGCTTGGAAATATATGGGGTCAATACGATTATTATTCGTATTATCATTATTATATTTCAGGGGGATTTTAAGAAAAAGTGGCTCAGTATGTGGACGGAGGCAGCTAAGGCTCTGTGGGAGGCACATGCCCCCACTTGAAATCTTTTTATTAAATCTTAGTATATCTATCTTCTAAATAATTCTAAAGTTTCCCCCTTAAAACTTTCCAAAATCTCTTTAATCTTTATGAAAAGTGACCAATAAATACATTCACGTGTTTCCCATATGATACCATCTCATCAATATATATTAGCCATTTTGTTTTCGCATTGATAAGTTGGCAATGTTTTTCATTTTGAAAAGAATTTTCTTCTCGCAAACACTGCTGAAGTAATAGTGACAATTTGTGGATTTGCGTAAATGGCTGTGCTATTCTCCACCATTAGAGTAAATTTTTTACTCCGCCACTGGTAGTGTTTTATTATAAGCAGCAGTATGTAAAGGGTAAAAATGATAGTGAATTGTGTATTTTTGGGAAAGTACGAACTGCTATTTTAGAGGTAATTAACTGGCCAAAGTTCTACAGTTGTGAGGAGATCTGGATTTAGGAGGGTGCAGGACTGTAAAAATTGTCATTCACATTGTCTGGTTATTCTTCAGCTTAGAGTTTGTGGGGTCTTCTTTGTCTCCTCTTGCACTTCAAATTTACTTCATTCGTTTGTTGTCCATTCTAAGCCAGCCATGCATACTCTTCTTAATCTTTTTGGGCTTTGTTTGCACCATTAAAACAACTCTTCTTGTGGGCTTTGTGTGCTCAAAATTTGCTTTGACGATATCTTTTATTGCCTATTTGCACGGTCAAAGTGTTTTTAAAACCTGTTTGTGAAATAAAAATACTTCTTATGGTGTACTTGGGTACTTGTAATTTTTGGAGCGCCAACATTACGTTAACTGCCGTCTGAATGGCCACTAAAGTAAGTCTAATTTTTCATAGTAATAGTTTATTGCGTGGATGTTTGTTGTTAGCATGGATTGGTTTGTCTGGGCAATAGATCAATAGGGTTCAATTGATCAATGTAATATTTTGCTTTCCTGTGTTTCGAAGTAGTTAATACTCAAGAGACAAGTTTGTGATTAATTTATTTTTTTCAAAAGAGAGACTTGTTTAAACGGTCCAAAATAGTTGGGAGAAGGATTTTGCTAATGGATATAAACAATTAAGTTACATCCTTTCAGACAACTTGACCTTTAGAGTAGATGGTTGTGGTTAATATAGTATCGGGACATACATGATTCTGAGTTCAAATCTAACTGTCACCAAGGTCGATACTTATACTTGATACTAGTGTAGGACTGAAAGTTGCATGTGAGGGGGCCTGTTAAAGGATATAAATATTAAGTTACACCATCTCCAACAGTTTAAGCTTTTAGAGTAGATAGTGATTAACAGATTTGCTTTGTTTGTTTCTCTGGATTAGATATTTTAGAAGAAAGAACAAAGAAATTATTGGTACATAAGTCCCTCAAGCTGTACATGTTGGATGGGAATAGCTTGTTTTTGCTTTGACTTTTCGATTGTATATATTTAATAATCAAGTGGGAATATGAGTTGTGTAATTTTTCATTTAAATACCGAAAGCATTTGATGTTACACCCTCGGCATCTTTATACTAGTTTTTTACTTCTGGTGTTTTATCCAGGCTGACAGGGATGTGACAAGAATGGAAATATTTCTCTCTCTCGTTCGCGTTCTGGAGCAAACTGTTAAGAGCTGCTCAGGATCAGTCAACGGCATCGGTAATGATAACATGATTGTCCACCAGTCTCTTCACCAAGCCACCTCCATACTTGCAACTGGTAAGGCATGTAGTTTGCGTTGAGCCACCTGCTATTTGGCTTTTGGTTCTGGATATGTTGAGAGCAAGCACAGTTGTTGCCTGCCATGACCAACATAATTCCCAGACCGATACCTCTGGTGGGATCAACTCCAATCGACATCTTTGTCTCCCGGAGGCTATATCGTGACTGACCTCACTTCAGACCTTGGGGAATTCAAATTGGTTTAGGTAATGTTACGGTCCTCGAGAACTTACATTTGCATGTTGTTTCCCGACAAAGATATTTCAATGTACCAGTCAAATACTTTAGAATTACTTCTTAATTAAGAAATGGTCATCAGTTGTCTCTTCCGGTGGTAGCCTTGAATATTGGAGAGGGGTTACGGGAACAACTTGTTTGTAATGAACTTGTTCACAAATGTATTAAAAATTTAAAATTATGTGAAATGAAAGGAATGGTGAGGCACTTATATATCAGTCTTTTTCTTCTTTTTCATTTTTATTTATATTTTATATTTTTATTTTTGAAGTTTCCAATGCTGGAGTACTTGGGGATATGGATTATGGTTAGTGTTTGATGTTACTTTTACGAGGATAATTTCTTTCTACTATATGCTAATCAATTTGTAGACTTCCTCAGAAATGAACTTTTAATCTTTGCATGTACAGCTATCTATTTCCAAATCGGACTCCTCTCCTACCCATTTTTTGGGCTCTCATGCAGATGTGGCGTTGGGAGCATTTACATGTATCATTTAAAGAACTTTTATGTCTTCTACACATGCTAGACGTGTACTACACTTTCATGTCTTCTGCACATGCTAGACGTGTATGTGTATATTTGGTGAAGGTATTACTACCATGCCTGTCAGTTTTCTGATTATATTACGGATACAAAGACAAGGAATTTATTTATTGAATAATTGTTATTATTATTATTATTATTTCGGAAAGTTAGAGCAAATGTACACACCCACAATTAGAGTTCGAAAACTCAACTTCCCTTCTAGGGGGGAGAGCTTATACAATCTAGGCTAGAGTTCGTTGATGGCGAAGGAAAAATATTGCCGTCTTGAATCACGATTTAGTGCATTGAGCGCATTTACAACACCAAAGCCTAGATGAATCCATATGTTATAACTTACCCTCAAAAAAATGTTCTTATCTAACAAAGAAAAATAAATAAAGAAAGAAAGAATGAAAAAGAAAAAAGAGAAAAATGTTGTAAAAACAAATATTGATTTTATTGATTTCGTTTAGTACACCATACATATTGAGTTCATCACATATATATAGTCAGTCTTGTGGAGCACTAATGCTCTTTTCGGTAGGAAGAAAAAAAAAAAAAAAGGATAGAAAGGAAAGAAAAATGGATGAATGAGACATCTCTAGGGAATAGATTGTGTATTTCTTTCTTTTTGTTGAGAAGAGAATAAGTTCATAATTTACTATATTCGTTAATAGAGAAGGAAAGAAAAATGGATGAATGAGACATCTCTAGGGAATAGATTGTGTATTAATTTATAGAGGATATTAGTATAATTTAAAACTTGTATAATTTAGGATAGTATTTAATTTAAAACTTTTATAATAGGCCACTTGTCTTCCTTCATTTCTTCTACCCATTTTTGGGCAGATGAAAATTTGTAAAGAAGGAATGATGGGTCACTCTTCATATTCTCCTTTCTTTCCTTATATCATCTCCATCGAACAAAAAAAATTTGTTCCTTCCTTCCTATTTTCTCTCCACGCCTCTTTTTTCCTTCTTACCGAATACAACATAAAAAATAGGTAACTTGATCACTTCTGAGAGAAGCTTTGCCATTTCCTTGGTCATTTCTCAAACTTAGTCACCACTCAAATAATGAATGGAAGTGGATTCACATGTATATGATATGTATACAACAGTTTCACTTGGGATCCATTCCACTATAGTAAGAATATGTCTCATTAAAACCATTTTTAGGAAAAATCTAGTGGAATAAAACCCTAGCGAAGGAAAAAGAGTACAATACTCCTGTGTATTTGAAAATGGTATTGCATGGGTTAAAACTGTCTCATTAAAACCTTAACAGGAAAACCAGTAGGACAAAACCTGGACAACGAAAAAAGAATACATTATGCCAATACCTTTTTAATCAAGTGCTCCCTCCTCATTGTTGCATTATTTCAATACGAAAGATCCTTGAGTTGACGCATTCCAATATTATGCACTAGTTTCTCAGAATGATTTGAAGAAGTTGTAGACATTGTCTGCTTCATTGATCGCTATGATACAGCAATATTGCCACAAGTAAGCACATAGCCTGTTTGTGATTGAGCTTAATGTGGATCGGGGAGATAGCCAACATCTACACATCCAATAAGCTGGGATTTTGATTCATTTGAATAAAATAATCCCATATCGATTGTTCCGCGAAGATAATGGAATATGTGCTTTGTTCCATTCCAATGTTTACGGGTTGGTGCAAAAGTGTATCTTGCTAATAAATTTACTCAAAAAGTTATGTTAGGTCGTGTGTAATTTGCAAGATACATAAGAACACCAATGTAATGTTATGCTTTATTTTATATATATAATTAGTATCATTTTAGGGTTGTTACAACCAATTGCACTGAGATAAGACACTTTAGGACCGAAAAGTTCTTCATTGTCTTCTCGAGGACGAAATGGATCTTTCTTGACATCAAGTGACCGGACAACCATTGCGGAGCTCAATGGATGTGCTTTATCCATATAAAAGAGTTTCAAAACCTTTTTTTATATATGTTGATTGGTGGATAAGAACTTGATAAATGCTCGATACGACAAAATTTTGCATTTCCGAAATTTTTCATCTCAAATTCTTTCTTTAGATAATTGGTAGTCTTTATGATCTCCTCAAAGGTTTCCACAAGATTCAAATCATCAACATAAACTGCAACAATAGGAAAACTAGATTTTGATGTATTAATAAAAATGCATAGACAAATTTGATTATTTAAATACCATTCTTTTAGTAAGTACTCGCTGAGACAATTGTAGCACATGCGCCCAGATTGCTTCAATCTATACAAGGATCGTTATAATTTTATTGAGTACATATTTCGAGGTTTTTTTTCCTGGCATTTTCAAACCTTCATGGATTTTCATATAAATATCATTATTTAGTCATCCATATAAATATGGTGTGACCACATCCATTAGATGCATTTTCAGTCATTCTGTGAGGGTAAAATGAATTAAGAAATGTAATTATGTAGACACCCAATTTTGCCCCTACCCATTTGTAGGGGTGTTTCGGTAAAACTTATTTGGCCAAGTTAGGAATACCAGAAAATCTGACCACCAGATCATAAAATGAATGTCACCATTGAATCTGGAACGTTCTAAAACGTTAGGTTACACTTAAAGCCAAGTTTGTAACGTGACTCCTACCACTCGATCAAGGAAGGGGCAAAATAGTAATTTTGCACCCCTAACACATTCAAGTTTGAGTAAAACTTGAGGGGATAAACCAATTTATATATTCACATAAATATATATAAATAAAATAAATAAATAAACATATTAATAAGCCTATAATAAATCAATGATGTTTGCCCAGAATATTATGGTCTGGTCAAAACAAAACATGATTTGCATTAAGTAAGGAAAGTAAATAAAATAAAAGATATGTATATATATATATATATATATATATATATATATATATATCATCATTTAAACTATTGAAAATTGGATCCTGGCTTAAGGATGATTCAGTCCAGACATTAAGCCACGGCCAGCGTCATGATCTCTATGGAAAGAGGGGTAACATAAATAAGTTAATAAAATAAAAGGGGAAAATATAATTATATATATATACTGATACAGGCGCACATATGCACAGTAAAAAGGGAAACCAATAATCGATTTTATGACCCATAAACCTATTGCACGAATTGCGACACCATTTAATATCATGATTGGTGATAAGGTAATTAAGGTAATAAATAAAAATAAATTGCAGTAACGGAAATGTTAATAATTTTGTAATGGCGTAGAATCAGCTTTTTCAAAATAATGTACTTGCCCTATAAAGACACCATTTGTTCTTTCATTCTGGGGACGACTTACAAAACCCTAAAAGAGAAAAGGGGGACCTATGAGATACAAATAAGCCTTTTGGGAAATATATCAACAATCTTCGGTCTTCAAGATTTCAGATTAGAGCAAAGGTTCTGTTTCGTCAATCAGTCACCTACACTCTGACCTTATTTTAATTGATATTTTTTTAGATTAATTTATTGTACTAGCTAGGGCATGTATGCTTGTATGAAATAAATAGTTGCTCCTATATCTTTCCTTGACTCTATATCTTGTATATGTTTCTTGATTTCCATGAATAATTGTAATCACTTGACACCTTAGTTGTCCTGTTGATAACAATACACTGTGGTTGCATGACATTTTAATTGTCATGAGAACTATAGTACTTTATTACAACAATTTCACGTAAATAAATCCCATGGCTGCAAGGTATTCTAATTGTCATGTGAGCCATAGGGCGTTTTGCTTATATCATAATATTGCTTCTTTTAGTATAAAAAAATAATACAGTCCCATCGCACCATAGTTGCCATTTAGATTTATAATTGTTTAATTTTAATTACGGTTTTATGGCATTTAATTGTCTACCATATTGTTATCTGCTTTTTATTTATTTTTATTAAATAATAATTCTGTCTTTGCAATCTTTAGTGCAATCTTTAGTTTAGAACCGTATTTTCTAAAAAAAAGAGATCATATTTTTTTGAGATCATATTTTCAAATAAGTATCTATGTTGGAATATTCTTTAATCTTAAAAATAATATTTTTCAAGAAAATAAAGTTTCTTAAAATAAAACATTCCCAAGCAATACCTTTCTTGAAAGGAATGTTTTTCTAAATATATATAAACAAATCCTAGTAATATATTTTCCCTAAAAGTCATATATTTCCTAAATAAAATATGTGTTTCAAAAATAATACTTAGTTAAAAATAAAGTTTATTAAAAACTATTTTTAAAAATAAAGTTTCCTAAAAGATAAAACAAGTCCATGTTCACAAAGACATAAAATTAGAATTAATTATAAAATTTAAAGTTTCATATTTTACGTCTCATAACCACCTAAAGGTCAAACTTTTTTTTGAAAATTATTCTTAAAGAATGACTTCTTTACATTTTAACTTCCATAGATATATATTTTCTTAAATCCTAAAATTCCTAAATTTTAGGTGTGGGTTCATAAAAATCCGCTCTTCAATTTATATTTAATCTTTTAAATAAATTAATTCAATTATTTATTAGCTTCCTAAAGTGCATAAATTTCTTTATAAAAATATATGAACTTTCTTAAATTACAAGTTTCCTCAGAAACACTTTAAAATACCAATTTCCTTAGAAGTATATATATATATACTTTTCTTAGAAATATACTTTATAAAAGTTAAATATACATATTTCTTAAATTATGGGGTTTCC